GAAAGCCTTTTCAAAAGTTGGGGCGTTAAATTTCATTCAATTGATTAATATCATTACTCTATTTTTGTGCAAACATTTTTTCAACAATTTTTCGTTTTTACAATTTTAAGGGTGGCTTCCGACCAAATTGTCACTTTATAGCCCAAGTGAGAAAATTTCGTAATTTATAACCAAGTTTTTTAAAATCTATATTTAATAAAGATTCTATTTTTCTTATTAAATTTCAAAAATGAGGGGGTTCGGAATCGTCCACAAATTGCCGAAGAGTAGGTGACAAAAGTGCATACTCTTAAATTAACCTTAAATGCTGATTTTTCGATATTTTCGGTATTAACCTTATTGTAAATTTTTCCGGTGATAAATTTATCACACTGAGGTTATTTTTCCGGTGAGATTTTTAACCTTGATTTAATGAAATTAATATATATAAATTTTATTATTTTTAATAGTTAGTATACCTAAGTCGTGTACTGTGGCACTGCGCGCCTCCGTACACAACTTAGCTGTTTTGACACTTTACGAAACCGTTAACGTATATTTTACAACACAAACGACAACACTAACTTAACCTTAAATATTTATAAAGCCGCCAACCACTTCACCTCACTAATGAAAAAATAAACGTTTTCACAAACGACTTCACTAATGTAAAAAATAAACGTTCTCACTTACAAAAGTATTGCAACTCCTCCCATTGCTGTGCTTCACATAACAGCTCATAATCTTCTGACTCACTTTCTTCTTCATATAGGTCAAAGTCACTGTCAAAATGAATGTTAGTAAGTTTTGACAAAGCTAATGAAACACGTTTACCGTTTGTATCGTATGCTTGTATAAACTTTCCATTCTTCATTCCTTCATAAACGCTCAAACTAACTTTACCCTTTCTCCCTCGTATCTGATAGAATGTATTTTCACGAGGAACGAAGAACAAATTCTTGAACTCATGACCGTTGTAGTTTGTTATCTCAATAGTTTTCGTCATTTATATAAAAATAAAATAAAAAATTATTTAAAAATAAACTTAAAAATTAATGATATCACCACCCTCACACGTATGAAAACATAGCGCAAAAATAAATTTAGGTGAAGTGGTGAGATCTCACCTCTTTTTTCACCTGTTTTTTCACCCTGTTGAATTCATTGCTTTATAACTCTCTTCCTTTCTCCAACTCTTCTAACTTCTTCTTAAGTTCAGCAATGTTGTCCTCATGAAGTTTAATCTTTCTCAAAATTCCTTCTTTATCTAATGGTTGCTTTATCTTTCTAAACTGAACTCTACCATCCTTCATAGTATGAATGTAAAAACCTTCTGGAATAGTTCCTGATTTAATGTATTCTACCAAAAACTTTTGTTTCATTGCTTCAGTGACTTTATTTGTCATTTCAATCAAATAAAAATTTTAATATTAAATAAAAATAACGTTATTTTTCAGTAAGGAAACGCAGGAGTTTTACGATTTATTTGAGGAGTAGGTTCTGGTTTAAATTTTGGAGTCGGTTTAGGAGTTGACTTTTGAACAGGAGTTTGTACTTCCATAGGTTCAGGAGTCATTGAAGGTGTTGTTTGTGAAGGCGTTGGTTTTGGCGAAGGCATTGGAGTTTGTTTAACTTCAGCTACTTCAGTATTATTTACAACATTTGCTTTATTTCTTTTCAACATCATAACTACTCCTGCTGTAGCTAGCAAACCTAGTGGGAGACCATATTTTATATAAGGACTTGACCAAATGCTATTTTTGACAGGAGCTGGTGGAACACCTAACCTTGGTGAGACTGCTCTTTGCCATTGTGCAGCTCGTAAGAAATATTCAATAGGTGCTCCATAATCGTTTGGTAAAGTTTGTTTCATAGATGGTGAAGGTTCACGAGAGCTTGATGAAGAACTCATTTATAAACTTTAAAAATAAACGTTCATTCTTTATTCCTCACTGTCGTCCGTAGCTAAGTTATAGTCATCTAATCTTATTATTGGGATTCCATTAGCACGCACCTGAATGGCAAAGCAACAATCCCTCATAAATCCAATAAGTGGCTTTGGTACATTTTCAGTTGCTAGTTCAATAGGTCCTTTAACAGACAATTTGTATGTTATTGGAGCAGTAGATGTTTGACCTTGCTGGAAGCAAAAGTCCACTTCTGTTGGAAAACCACATAAGAAATGTGTGTTGTCATAGCTATCCCATTTATGTTCCACACTACCATCATCCACCAATGACCTCATAACATCTTCATTAAATCCTATCATATCATTGTTTGTATTGCAGGCGTTCGCAACCATTTCATAAAATACAGGTCCATATGATTTTTCAGGTTCTGCAGGCATATTTCCATAAGCTCCCATGGAAAGCTGAAGATATTTAAACTTAGTAGTCATGTGATTTTATCCCAAGCATATGGGGATTCTAAATTTTTGTCCCTATCGTTATCCCAATTGAATTTTTTTTTGGAATTTAAAATTTTTTTCTCCATGTAAACTTAAATTTTAATTTTTACCACTAAAATGCAATATTTCAACAAATTAATGAGTAATAATATTTTAATTTATAATAAATATTATAAATCTCCTCAATTTAATGTAATTATTGTATTAATTTTTGTTGAAAATATAAAATCTTCATGTAAATGATGTGAATTTAATATTTTTAGAATGTTGTTTAATTGTACTATATTATGCATGTAAAATTTTGTTACAATACATTTTATATGGGATCCCCATTGCCCAATTGAGAGAAAATTGAGAGGTGGGATTGGGCTAGCCCAATTCAAAATATCCCAGGTGGAAATAAAAAAATTAACAATTCAACATAAAAAAGCATCTTAAATAATAATGATAAAAAGAAATTTTGTATGAATTTCAATCAAATTTGTTTTTATTCAACTTAAGAAATCACTTCATTAATGAAAGAAGTCGGGTTCACAACATATCCCGATCTTGAAACGAAACAACATGTTTTTTTGATGCCCTAAACGGGGGGTCGCCAGCAAAAAAAAAGATGTCAAAATTTATCCCAAAAATTTAAAAAAAATCGAAGAAAGTGCATCCCAGGGATTATAAAATTTAAGTTTTCACATCTCTAAAACTTAGGGTTCTCAAAATTAACATAATAGTTGTCTTTCTTTCTAAATAGTGCCCAAATACTTTTAACATTAATAGGCGTATAAGCTGCTGTAAATGTTGCACTTGAACTATCTGTATTCTTTGAGAATGAACCGTCCATAGGAATCCAATCCATAACTTTAACAGGAAAACATAAAGCCTCGTTTGTATAATGTTCTACAAGTTCTGTATAAATGTTAGGGTCTAAAGAGAATGACTTTGGATGAATGAAACATTCATTAAAATCCATCTTTGTTCGAAATAGTTGCTGGGTTACAGTTGTAATAGTAACTGTTCCACTAGCTTCTACTGCCTTCGTTATCATAGTGAATGGTTCATTCCATGGAACAAATTTATTTGTCGGTGGATTTGAATCTGAAGCAAATGCAACTTTAAGAGTTGGATTGAAAGCAATGATATCATTTACAGATATAGATGTGCATTGTAATGCGTCGCTACTGAACTTTACTTTAAGCTGAATGTTACCTGCAAAAGCTGAATAAATCGAATAGCTTCTAATGGAAAAACTTCTAACAGGAATTCTTAAACGAAGCTTAAAATCAAATGACTTTCCTGCTGTAATTGGACCACTAACAATTTGTCCTGTTCTGCATGTTCCCGAATGACTCCATACATCTTCATGTCGAGTCTTTGAGAAAACATCTACTTTCTTTATTTGTTCGGTAGTTTGTGAGTTTGAAGTTATATATGCTTCTTCTCTTGCGTTGTCTTGAGAATATACGATACGACCATTTGCAAGGATTTGATATCCAGCAACTGCATAGAAAGCGTCATCGAAACCAATCCAAAATCCTGGTGGGTTTGTTTTATTGGAACCTGAACCAATTTCTTTATCTACAATAAATTGACCTTCCATTTTATACGTAATGAATGTATTGTAAAGGTCCAACATATTTTCACCAGGAGGTGAGAGATTGAATGTTACCCATGTGTTATCTTTAGCAGTTCCAGGTTGTGATGGAATCTTTGCGTCAGAATATTTTCTATTAGTGTCACCAATTTGAACTGCATTGTCTATGATATCGAAATATGAGCGAATCTGATGAATATGCTCTGCTGGAGTAAATTCGTTTAACTGTTCGTTCTGCATGTATTTACTTCGATAAAAATATCTATTTACTTCATTATTCTCACTCTTCTTCTTGGCATTCGTGGTGGAAGTTGTTTCTTGACATTTTCAATGAACTGTACATTCTCTTTTGTCTCAACTTCTTTCACTGGTGGGTCAGGATTCTTTGACTCGGTTTGTTTTCAATGAAATTCACGAACTTTGCAATAAGCTCTTGGTTCGTTATTGAAAGTACATCTGGCTTCTTTTCTTCTGTTCTATTGACTTTTCAGTTTGAACAGAAGGTTTTATATGGGCTTCGTGGACTTCACCCTTGCCATACACCTTAATGTTGTCGCTTTCTGCATTCGCTAATGGAACCTTTCTTTTTCTTACGTATATTTTACCATCTTTACTCTGACTTACGTAATAGAAAGGATGTTGTATTCCTCTTGCGTCATTTAATATAATAGACTCTCGCTCTGATTTTGACAAGCTCATTTTACATCGGTTAAAGTTTTAATTTTGTTTTTTATCTGCAGTCAAATGACTCAGACAAGCCCTACGGACAAGACCCAAGGGGTCATAGATGTTGAAGCATTGAAGAAAGAAATTCGTGAGCAAATTTTATCCGAACTGAAGGAACAAAAACAAGAACAAAAGCCAGAGAGACCAAAGAGAAAACTTAGTGAAAAACAACTTGCTGCATTAGCTGCTGGAAGACAAAAGAACCCACGTTTGCTGGCGAAGAAAGCTAGAGAAGAAGCTGAAGCAAAAGCTAAAGAAGCTGAAGCAAAGAAAGAGTAAATGGTTTATTTTTATCCGAATTAAATGTATAGACAAATACCTTTAACTGTTGCGTTCAGTAGTGAAAACCCTGACGTCAAAATAAAGGGGAACAGAGTAACGTTTAAGTTTCCAACAGACTGGATTGTGAACATAAATGAAGAGAAGTACATTGGCATAACATCTATGTATATAACACGTGCTTTCAGAAAGGTTGACTTTATACTTCAAGTCGAGATAGAAAATGACGAACAGTCTTTAAGCGCCCAAAACATTCACATATACAAATACTTTAAAGACGATACAACATTGCAACAATGTATGATTTCATTTAATGAGATGTTCGAGAAAAAGTTCAACATTGAAGTACAAACTTTACAGCCTTTGCGTGAGTTTCTTGCACAACTGAAAGAAGAAGGTAGTCAGCCACAACTTATAGACTTTCATTATGAATTTAATGAAAATGAAGATGGAACTCATGACTGTCAATTCATTGTATTCTCACCATTCAATGAAGTAGCTAAAAAGGAAAAAAAATCCATTACGTATAAGATTTCAAATCTCTGAACCCAATGAAGACTTCAAGAATGTTTTCAATTATAATGCAATGCTTCCGAGGAAAAATGAATTTTCAAAGATTGTAACACCTGGCATTTGGGATAGAAAGCAAGCTATATTATATTCAAATTTAAGTAAGGGAGTTGAAAATGAGTTCATTGGTCATACAAGAACTTCACCATTACCAAATCCTAAATACTATAAATTAACTGGCTTCAATCGTGAGTTTTGGATAGACATGTTCTCCACTCATGACCATAACTGCCCAGTGTTCTTACCTCCAGACCATAAGGACTGTCTCTACATTGAAGCACAACTCTTAAACTCTACCATCGCAGTATTGTAAATGACCACATGGGCTTCGCCTTGCCGCTAGCGGCTTATTTTTATCACGAATGACCTCACTGCTGACAAAAATAAATGACCTTATTATTTTTCTCATTCATGACCTCAGAACTTAAGCTTTCTTATGAATGAAGTCTTAGTCTGAATAGAAAAGTTAAACTTTTCAGCAAAGCAAGGACTAGAAGACTTACACAAGTCAAATCCAATCTCTTGACCATCATGAAGTGCTTTGTAAAGTTTCATAACACTGAACTCAGAGTCTTTGTCAAATTTTCCTTGCGGAACCATTAAACCTTTATCTTCATTGTAATAGCATTGTATAGCTTCAGGAAACATTTCATTAGCGGTTAAAGCAATAACATCTTGCTTCACGCCTTTCATTCTGCAGTGAAATGCAACTTCATTTAAATCATTCGTGAGTAAGTCTATGTAAGTCTTCTTTCCACAAAATATTGAATTGTATGCTAAACTTTGTTTTCCAGGTGTTATTTCTGCAAAGTCGCTATGAAATTGACCAAGGTTTTTACCAATGAGAACTCTTCCATAACGTTTCTCAAACTCTTCAGCTAAACGAGGGATATCTTCATTGTAGAGATGCATACTGTCGGTATCGCTATAAAAGATGTCCATTCCTAAGTCTTCAGCAGTACAGAATACTTCACACATTATTCTCTTCGACATAGATAGAATATTAACACCAAGTGGACAGAAGTTAAAGTGTCTGCAAATGCTTTTCGTTAGCTTGAAAATAGTTTTATCTGAACCATCCAAACCTTCGAACTTCACTATATGGTTGTAGTTTCTGATGGCATATCTTATAGCATCTTTGTCATTTACTATGGTTATTTTTGACTCAATAGGAGATAGAATAGTTTTGCCATAAATACTGTTCAGAATGAGCTTTATATTTTCTTGCAAAGGATTTCCTTCTTTCTTATACTTTAACCTTAACTCAAACAACTTCTTTACTTCATCTCTTATTCTAATATCTCTGTTTCCATCGTAATAGTATCCTTGCAACACTTCACATTTGACACCTTGATATTTTATGAGGTCTTGTAATGTTATATGGTCAACATACATTAAACAGCAAGTGTTTGAACTTCTGGGAACGTTAAGTTCTGGATTTAGTTCAGGGTCACAAACTATTAAAGGAAAGTGTCTATGTATTCCAATCTCTGTTATCTTAATGAGAACAAAGAAGCCAGACATAAACTTTTCACCAATGGGTTCCTTTTGGTCGTCATCGAATAAATGTCTCATGAGATACTCTGTGCTTAACATCTCATCCTTCAATACTTTTGGAATTCCTTCTAAAGTATAAAGTCTTGCTATAGCTGATGGATATAATGAAACAGCGTCGAAATCAGCAATGAGTTTCTTTTCGCTCTTTTGTTTCATGTTATCTGACAGCATACATCTTCCACCTTGAATACAGTGTGAAATAAATTCTCTTGGTTTATTTGAGAGGTCATATAAATTTCCATTCGGGAAGTACACTCTGTTCTCAAACAATTTGTTAGCAATTGAACAAATACTAACGTAGTCATATACGTTTAAATCAAATTCTTTCAATATGTCATTGCGGAACTTAACAAAACCTTCTCTTAAAATTCTTACATCTTGTTTGCAATAGAATGTGCTATATTTTTCTAAGTCGAAGTGGTTTTCATCTATTCTGCAACCTTTGATGGAATCTATGTTTTTCATGAATGTATCCGCATCCTGGATAAACTTACATGCTTCAGAAATGACACCAGTTCTGTTGTCATTTGCTAACAAAACACTGCTGTAGTAGTTGTATGGAAATACTTCTTTCGGTCCTGTTTGTAAGTTAAACATAGCAGGAAATAGTTTAAGCTTCTTATTTATAACACTGTAAGAGTCTTTTATAATAATTGCCCTTCCTTTATATAAGCCAGTTATTTGCATTGTTCGTGAACCTTTAATGATGGGAGTTCCTTTCACTTCTGTCATGTGTCTTAAGATGAAGTTTATATCATAACTGAGGTTATGGAAATATATTAAACTCTTGTCAGGAAGTCGCTCCAAAAATTCTGTTGCACAGTTCTGACCCCATATGCTTTCACTCACTGAACCATCTTCACTGTCGTAACAGATGTTAAAAGCTTTATGAAAGCCATCGTGCTACACTCAAAGTCAGCAAAGAAAACGTGCTCAGGAATGAACTTGCACTTATTTTTATTTACTTCTTTTGACTCGGCTTTCTTCTTCAGTTGTACACAATACTTTGGAGCATATGTCAAATCTTTAAATGGTGCAAGGTTCTGTTTATATAAGTCAGTCGTATATGTGAAAAGTTCTCCATAAGAAATAGGTTCGAAATATTTGCACTCCCACAATGTTTTCATAACATCCCATAGCGGTGTAGTTCTATCATGCGAACTACATATTTATCTTCTCTCTTTGTATAAATCTTCATCTGTTTCTCAATGTTCATTCCACCACACTCCTTCAAGATTTCTATATAGTTGCGAATGAAATATGTTGTCATTGGAATCTTTCATTTAGCATGTAGTGGTCTTCAACAAGAAGTAAGTCAATAGTTCGAACAGTTTCACATTCTTTTGGTATGTATCTCTTTATTTCATTATGTCTTGAGTCATTGAAATAACCAATGGTAACATTAAATGCTATACCTGTTGCGTCAGAAATTTCTTGTACTTTACTTTGAGGAAAGTCTCTAACACGAATGACTTCTCTCATGTGGTCAATAGTTTCTTCATTTACTCCAGCCTGAATGCAAGCATAAACGAAACAATTGTCTTCTGTCATAAGTGTTGCAGTTCTTTTGTTCAGTTCATTGAAGATTTGGTAGCGTTCAAGATTTATAGGTAATGTGCAAAGATACTTCCAGAACTGACCGCTTCTCTTCTTATAAAACTTCTTTTCACCAGGATTTCATTCCAGAAGTCATCTATATCTTGTTTATCTCCTGTTTGTTTAAGTCTGTTCAATAATCTTTTCTGTCTTTCTGTCAGTGTGCTTTCATCTCTATATGGTCTCTTTTTTGGTTTGCCTTTCTTTACATCTGACATCGTTAAGCCTTCATATTCTGTTAAATCATACATCTTTATTTCGTAAGATTCTTTATGTTTGTCAAGAAGAAGTCATAGTGCATTTCAACAATACCTGCAGCATTTGCTTCTATCTCTGATATAAAGTTCTCCTTCAAGAGCTGATGTAGTAATGTTCCAATATTATTGAGGTTTAACGTAGAACATTCATACTTTCCACCAAGTTTATAACATACCATCCATCTTTGTTGGGAGTTTATTTTAATTTCTCTAAGAGTCTCATGAAAACCTTACCGAAATGTTTGTGTAAGTAGTCTCTGTTTGGTTCATCTAAAGCTTCGATGTTAAAGTCAATGAGTCTATTGCCTGACTTCACATTTCTCTTCCTATTCTCTTCATCTTTCTTTAACCATCTCTCACCTTCTTTTGGTTTGTCGTCAATGGAACGAATGACATCGTTAGCTTTGCGAACTTGTTCTATAGCACTTTTAAATATCTCTCTTCTCTGTTGTTTCAGTGTGTCGTCTCTTCTTCTTGTTTCACCAACGTTTGCATTTGTTATGTCAAACATTTCTCTTCTTACTTCATGAGGTACTGAACGTCTATGATATAAGTCAATAGCAACGTCATTTAAAGGAAATGCTTTGCATGGACTTCGTCCTCGCCGCGTTGCGGCTTTATGAACTCATGAATTCTATCATAACTTATTGCACCATTATAGTCATTGAGGATGTCAGCGAGTGCTTTTTTGTTTGTCGCGTAATGTTTTGCAACATCTATGTTAGCTTCTGTAAGAAGTTGTTTTATTTCCGAGTGTTCTAACTTAGACAACTTCCGATACATCTTTAGTAGGAAATAAAAAAATATTTTTTTGAAAAAATTAGATTAGATTTTTTAAAGTTATTTTTCAAAATAATTTAATATTTTTATTTTAATGAAACACATGCAAGATTGCAAGTTCTTTTCATACAATGCTCTCGCTACTGCCATCAAGAATGAGTTCAATAATGCTTCAAATGTTAATGTTATCTTTAACAAGAAGTTTGTGAAAGAATCTAAGTTTGGTCAGTATGTCAAACCATTAGCTATCGTCATTGACCGCAAACGTTATACTTCACAAGAGTTAGCAGTAGTTTTGAAACAAAAGAGTTTCTTCGTGAATGTCAAAGATACTCATTATACTGTCATAAAGAACTCTAACATTGACTTCTTCAGTATTGCTTTAAATCTTTCCGAACAGAAAGAATATAAGAAGGGTGAAACAAATGTGAAATATTATCCTTCATCTCTGAAGACAATAACGAACAAAGATGTCATACAAAAGTTCTTACCAAAGGTTGAAGAAGCTTCTATTGACATTGACGAAGAAAGTGAAATGGTTGAAGAAATAGACCCTGAAGCTATTTAAGCAAAAATATATTTTTGAAGAACTGAAGGTGTCACCACGTCACCATGTGTCACCAGGTTATTTAACTTCTTTTAAAAATGATGACAACATGACATTTTGACAACAGTCCAGGAAATAAATTTTATCGTTAATGTTTACGTTAATGTTTTTCATTAAATTTTGTCAAAGTGCAAATCTTCACTTCGTCAAAAAGTTAATGTTTTTCATTAAATTTTGTC